CCCCCCCCTCTTCAAACCATCTCCGAGAAACCAACATGTTGACGGCGGTGGTTGAAGGGCAAGGCGCTTCTCGTAGGTCATTCTTCTTTTCTTCCTATCTGTTATTTCTGCCTGTCAGTCTTACTCTTTCCTACCTCTAAATGGCCGTCATGATAATGCCGACGTGCTTTTTTGTACTCAAACAAAGTGACTCGAACAGTTGAGACTAGGTGGTTAACTCAGGAGGTTGCTAACGGAAAAAAAAGAGTTGGTTGGTTCCAACAGTTGCGGGAATGAGGGATGTGCCGCCTACAGACTTGAGGAATGCAGAGGACGGTGGAAGACACGTAATGTTAGGTGTTCATTGAACAAGAATTGAAAATAAAAAACCTTTACAGTTTACAGTGACATTTTGTGCGTAAATAGACGTATTCATCGCGAGCAACCCCAGTGTATGGCGTAAAATGAAAACCCGAGAACCGGCAAAGTGACGCCTACTGTCGATTTATTCACATCTACAGTCGGTTAAATCAGGGGGGGGGGTGCTGCCCAAGAGAAGAGAAAAGAAAGAAAATCTTGGCGCCCAAAGAGATGGTACTGAGGTGTGTGCTTCGTTCTGACTTGCACATAGCACTCCTAGATAATATTCATTGAATGAGAATAAAATATAACAGACTGTTACTGTTTACAGTGACGTTTTGTGCTAGAAAAGATATATTCATTGAGTGCAACAAGAAACTATTGATCTCGTACCAAACAGGTTCTTAGAATAGAAGGTGAGCATGGAAACCCTTCCCCATCTCACCCTGGTCCCGCCAAATAAGAATGAGAAGGGGGGGGGGGGGCAAACATGTGATTTTCCTCAAAACTGGATTCAGTTGTTTTGTTTTTTTTCAATTGCCGGCCCGAGCTCTCTTACGCCTGTAATAGTAGTTATCTTGTTTTTGTGAAGGATATAAATTTATTAAAGTTTAAGACTAAAAATAAGGGGGAGGGTGGAGGGAGGCAGAAGAAAGATACGGAGTACAAATGGAACAAGAGGTAAACAGATGGAAATAGAAATATTCACTTGCAAACACACACACACACACACAAAAAGACGAAGAACTGCGTTACTGTGGCACGGGATCTAAGGGTGTTTTTCTATTGTTTCTGAATGATTACGTAGTCTTCCCCTTTTTGCTCAAGTACTCTTTTCTCACCGCTTTTACACGCCCCATCTTTGCCACATAGCTCAGAAGTTAAAGTATTCAAGTGCGAGGTCTGAACAACTCGAGTGTAAACAGCGACTGTATGACATGTTATTTGTAGACGCCAACTCTCCTACTTTAATTGACTCTTAGCACATCCGAGACCAACCATTAGCCTCGAGGACAGTCTTTGTGCTAGCGGTAGTTGTGAGAACGGACGTTTTTCTTTCTCAAGTAAAATGAGGATGGGGGTGGAGTAGTAGAGACGTAAGGAGAGGGAACGCCTTCTATATATATAATATGTTTGTGCTGAAGCGAATGGAAGAATCGAGTAACCGATTCTGTGCTTCTAAAGCTGTCCTTGTCTTTTGTCAAAGGTGTTCCTTTTTGGTTCTAGCCCCTCTATCTCGCGTGTTGTGTCACTAAAGGAAAGAACAGTTTCACGTCTTCTGTGTCTGTCTGTCTGTCTGTCTGTCTGTCTGTCTGTCTGTCTGTCTGTCTGTCTGTCTGCTTGCTTGTCTGTCTGCTTGCTTGTCTGTCTGCTTGCTTGTCTGTCTGCTTGCTTGTCTGTCTGGCTGGCTGGCTCATCCTCTCGGTGTTCTTCTCTCTCTTCTGTGTCTTTCACATTGTTTCCCCTCTCCGTGTTCTCCATTGTTATGTACGTACGTACATGTATAGCGATTATATCTGATATCTGGAATCCTCTGATTCGTTATTGGTTTTCTGGAGTCCGCTTTTCTCTACTTGGAATTTTGCCTCTTGCATTGGTTTCTCATTCGACTGCGGGACACCCCCCCCCCTATTTTCCTTCCATTTTCTTTACATACTTTGCATTCTGTCCGACAAATAATGCATTGTAATAATATACTACTGTCTGGCGTTATCCTGTCATTGAATTAGCAAAGTCTAGTCTGCTGACGAATTGTGGGGCGTTTAGAGCTCCACCAGAGGGCAGTGACCCTTTGCATGAGATAAGCAATGAGGTACACATATCGATGTCGTTATCATGGCACATGTGATTTGTTTTTCTCATTCTTGTTGAATTTTGATCAAGAACCAAAGTGACATCCAAAGTCTTTTTTTCGGACAGTTAAAGCCCCGTAATACGTTCACTTGAAGCTCACATGAATATCTTGGAATGTGTGGTTTTGTTTAAAAGGATGGACATCCACACGTCCTCGTGTCGGTCTGCCCGTCGACATTCCATCCATCCATCCACCAGTCCGTCTGTCCGTCTCTAGCTGAAACCTAAACACAGATAGTTGATACCTTTATAAATAAAACATTAATGGTTCAAGTCTGGTCTGTCCGTCCTTATCCATTATATCTATGTGTATTGTTTAATTCGTTTGTTCTTCCTCCTCCACCCCCCTCCCCACCCCCAATCCATCCGCTATCCTGCAGGTCCATTCATTCTGCTTTGTGTCTGCATACTTTCGTCCGCCGGTCTTCCATTCGTCTATTCGTCTTTCAATCCAATCTTCTTGTCACCCAATCCATTAATGTATCAATGGGTAAAGTAAGTACGTTCGTAGTTAATAAATCCACCGAGTACTAATTAACCAGGGCGGGGATAAATCGTGCCAGGTGATTTATTCACTGTCTTTTACCCTACCTCGACCGTCTCTCAATTCAGTTCTCCAATACTTTCGCAAATTACCATATTGATTCTTGCATGTAACGCCGGTGTTTTGCCATAAAACAGAACACTACAAGACAGTTCTTTCTATTCAAATAAACTCTCAGTCGCCATCAGCGCTGATTAAAAATACCCAAAAAAACCAAAACAAGTGTTTTCTATCCTAAACAGAAGCTCCTTTCGAACTGGTTGAGCTCACTTTCTGTTGTTTATACACCTCATCTAAAAATAAATATCAAATTGCGCAGTAATATAGACGTCATCATTGACATTTTAAAGGATTTTTAAAGAAAATTTAGTATCTCGAACAAAGCAATGAACTATCTCGTAATATGTCTTTGGTGAGTGGAACAAATTCGTTTAAGAATTGAGAAACAAGATAGAATTCTTTCAATTCCTTCACTAATCCTTTCAGAAAAACATAACAAGGCGACTTTCGTTACTGAAAGGTTAAGGTGTTCGCCCCTTCATTCAGTAGGTCCCGGGTTTCAATCCGGATAGCGACGGAAAATTTTCTTCTCTAAAATTTTCTCGTTTCACCTCCTTTCCCGCTCTCTAACACTGTTCTGTCGCCTGCTTTCTTCTCCACTTTCTGTCAAAATTTAAGGTCATGCAATTGCGAGCGCCGTAAAACACTTACCAAAAAAAACAACAAAAAAAACAACTAAAAAAACCCACACACACAACCCCATAACATGGTAAGAATGTACAAGTCCCTTCTCAACCTTATACAAGGCACAGCAGCTCCGACTAGGTAAGAAAACTCTCTAACCTACCGCTGTTTCCCTTTGTCGGCGAGGACGGACAGACTGACTGACTCACCGGCCAGCTGCCGGATTATAACGATAAACTGTTCTCTACAACGGGGATACTATGTCCTCATTGAGCCTCCGAGCATAGACTAGAAGTTGGGCGTAAACACCCATACCTTTGTGTCTGCCAACGGTGGGGTTCAGTGGACAAAAACGTTATGGAGTTGGGATAGAGATTGGGATGTTTTTGTCCCCGTCAGGTACGGTGCTGTTGACTAGAGAGAAAGCCCCTACCCTCTTTCCATAAGAAAATACCCCCCTACCCCCATCCATTAAAAAAAGGACCTATAATATATATATATCTCCGAAACTCAAGCAACATGATGTAAGGTCAACAAAAAAAGGAGAAACGAAAACAAGGTACATGTATTTTTTTATAATTTTTTTTTTATAGAAAAGTGGTGTTTCGGTGGCCTGAAGTCTTGTACATGAAGTTGGTTTTAGTAGCGAACGACACAAAGACTGAGTTCGGAATA